AATATTGTAAAATTGGAAATTATTGAATAAAACAACAGAGAACATAAGATAACGACAGAAATATAAAATATAATATAATTATAATTATAATAAAAATTTTCAATTTAAAAGTGGTTTTATAGAGTTGTAAATAGTATTTGTTTTCGACATATATATATATATCTTGTTGTTTTTATATATATTGCAAAATAAAAACATAAATTCTTGTACATTTTTATCGTACAAATCTTTTTTTTTATGCACCCACGTAGTCATGACATCATCGTTAGTGATCTAATATTGGTTTATTACACTGGTTAAAAATAATTAAATAATTTTTACTTAATCGGTTATTATGAATGGGATCTCACATTCCAAATATACCCATTTGAAGAAAATATATTAGGGTAATATATTTTACTAAAAAAGGGATTGGCATTTGTAGTGTCATTTACTTGAAAAAACATTTTTGTAATAAACGGTGGTTAATATTTAGCGAATAAAAAAAAAAAAAAAAAAAAAAAAAAAAAAAGAATGAGCATTTGTAGTATCATTTTATGAAACCTAAATATAAAATTATCACTATCAACCACCTTGTCATTTTCAGCAAAAAGCAATTTTACAATAAGTACTTTCGTGATAAAAGTTGCATCACATGTAAAATTAGTTAGGACTACACTACCATTACGTGTGATTGATAAATTAGCATAATGAGTCATTGACCACTATAATTTTCTATAGTAATAATAATAATAATAATTTTTTGTAAATAGTAATTCATCTAACAAATATTTTACAACGATAGGGAATAAAGTTCCGTTGGCGGAATAGTTCCGTCATGTTTTGTTATCGTAGATTATCCACATAACATAACCTATTTTTCTTATCTAATGGTGGAAAATCTGACGATATCGTCTCGGGACCTTAGCATTTACAAAACTGGTATTATTTAGCAACTCAGGGACGATGTGGAAATTCAATTCCTTCTGAGAAAATTAATCACTTTTTTCTCTTGGCAAAAATTTGTCGCCTAAATGGTGTCACGATAAAATTGGCATCAAAATTCAAAAGACTTGATAGTGAACTCTGCAGGGTCCATCAATGTCCATAGTCAAAATAAACGAGCGTTGAATTGCAAGAAAGCAAAAAAAAAAAAAAGTTGAAGGCACTTGGCAAAAACTTAATGGTGATTTAGACTACTCTCCCTTTCTTTTTCATCCAAAATTACACGTGCTAATATGCTTTTTCTGCAAGAAAAAAAAAAAAAAAAAGTATTTTGGACCAGATTATAGATGAAAGGACATTAGCGATGTGTATGTATGTAACAGAATCCAACAGACTCAAGCTTATGATTTCCCAGCTCGTCCTCGAAACATTATTGAGTCGAAATGAGTTTAACTTGTTAACTGAAGGAAGAACTGATAAACGAGTTTGAGCTTCGCTCATTTTATCAATATTATTAATCAATATGAGGTAAAGCCGTAAAGGTAGAGATTACAAAACTACGTAAACAATTTATTCCCGAGCCTCAAATAGCCAAATTCGCTAATTAAACGAGTTGAATCAATTTCGAGCCTTAACAAGTTGAACCCCATTCCCGAGCCTCAAATAGCGAAGCTCGCTAGTTAAACGAGTTGAGTCGACTTCAAACCTTAACGAGTTGAACTCGTCTACTGAGCGAGTTGAATCAGATTCAACTTTTAACGAGTTTACCCCAAACTTACGAGAAGATATGGCTACCTTCAAATTGAAATCCGCCTCATCACCATATATTAGGTCTAAATTAGTGTCAATGTTTCACACGTAAAATATGTTAATGTTACTGGTGGAATCTATCTCACACTTTAATATTAGCATGAGTACCTCAGACATAATGTTTAGGTAGTATTTTTTTTCTCAATAAATGTGCATACTTTAAAATTGAAATATTATATATTAAAAGTATAACACATTAACAATTAATTATCCCCACACAAGAAATTCTGTGTTTAAAATAGTTACTAGTACTAATAACCATGTATAACATGGGTGTTGAGTTGATGAATATATATGTAAAGTTATTTATGTCTAATACCAAACCTAACTCCAGAGTAAAAATAATATAAAAACATCACGAAGCATAGATTTTCGTAATGCCAACATCCGATGCGTGAAAATCTGTCACTTAGGTTCAACACGTTTTGAATTAATATATGGGGAGGGGATAAACTTTTCCAAGGAAAAATGCACTATATTAGTCCATAAAAGGCAAATTGTTTTTGTTTTGGCAAAACTCTCTCAATCTCCAGGATTTCTGCAAACACGTTACTGATTTTTGTTCAGTTTTTCAAATATTTGCTAAAATTAAATACTGGAGTGGTCAACCAAATTCGTTTAAATGCATTATTCAATTGCTCTGAAACCACCATACAAACATGTGGTGGGACTTTGGGAGCTGACGCTAAAAGATAACATAATAAATAAAAAAAAAAAAAAAAGAACTTGGGATAGAGCTGTTGACATTTTCATGCAATTTTTTTTTTATTTTTTTTTTTTTATTTTTTATATTTTCCCAGCCGTAGGCCCATATGGCTGTTCAAATAAAATACACACAAAGTGCAGAAAAAATAAAGAATGTTATAAAGGATAGACTTGTATTATTGAGTGTAGTATTAATGTATTATTACTTAATAATTGGCTCAGAAGTTTGTTAAAATGGGATTTCAAAGAAATAGTGATGTCAAAATAGTTGGTGTTATGAAAATTATGAAACTCTGAACTCATCTGCAAACACACACACCACACATACACACAGAGGGAGAGAGCAAATGTGACCTTCTAAAACAAGCTATTTTATAAGCAGCACAAAATTGGATCAAATGGAGACTCCAATGGCATGAGAAATTTCCAGACAAACTATGCATATGCAGAAAGTATGTCTAAGATTTGCAGCCATGATGTTATAGTCGAAACACACACACACACACACAAACACAAACACATAGATTTCACCCTACAAACGTGAGAAGTGCACACACGAGTTTCACACTGTTGGATCACACACACATACCCACACGTGTGTGTTGATCTGACGGTGAGGAACTGGGTTTCTGCTCTGCACATACCTATAAGATCGAATCTACACACACACACACAGAAAAACACACACATGGACATATTAATCGAAGGTACATTCTAAAAACAATATCTGACTTCCCAAGTCCAATGCTGCAATGCTAAACAAACACACTCACAATAAAGCAAAATGAAAATAAATAGAACGCCACACGGAACTAAAAAGAAAGAGCAAAATGCCTTAGAAAAAAAGCTAAATCTGGCCATCAGGCCACAGCAAGTCACTAATATGTACACGGATGTCTCGACATAGCACACAAAAACATCAACCCTCCAACAGAGTCTAAGTATTCAATAAGAAACACATAGCAAATAATTAAGCAAGTTGCAAACCAGGCCATAACACACACATACCCAAATTATAAGAGAACAAGAAGAACTTTACTTTATAGTAATATAACGATTCGTACCATGTTTAGCCCAGTAGCTCCTGAGGTCCACAGCGACCGACAAGTCATGCCCGGCCGAGGACAGCCTCGTCAGCAGCCGGCTAAAAACACCCGCGCTCATTTTTCGGCCGCCCATCCTCGAGTGCTTCTTGTTCGGCATCTGGGGCAGGGGATAAACTGACAGGGAGGTCGTGCAGCAAGCCGACTGCCAGCCCCCGTTTCCCCACTTGTAGCACTGCCTCGGGACACCGGTGCACGAGCAGACCGGCGGGGGCATGGTCGATTCGTCAAACGGTATCGGCTCAACCGGGCCGAACACCTTAGCATCCCATTCGGCCTTTGACCAGTCAGAGGTGACTTGCCGGTTCAGGTCCTCGCCCATTTTCCTCGACTTTTTCAGTGGACCAGTTGACTTCCCCAAGCTCTTCTTGTTCGTTTTGGGCCTGGTCCTGGGCTTCGGGCCTTGGAACGGGACGATTGAAAGCCGGGCTGCATCAGTTATGGGCTTTTCTCTCAGGCCGCGTGCACCGATGGTGTTGAATACGGTAGTGAAAGTGGTCTCGTGGAATTGGAGGGCAGCAATGGCATTGTCCCGTTCACGGATGGCACTGTCCCGTTCGGCAAGTGCCGAGTCGCGCTGCTGGAATGCAGTGTCCCGCTCGTCCAAGGCAGCTTTTTTTTCGGCAAGGGCTCGATCGCGTTCCTTGAAAGCTGCGTCCCTTTCGTCACAGAGCATGATGATCCTCGTGAATGCGTACTGTTCCTTTGGCTGATACTGTGATATTGCATTCCAATGAAATTTAGAAGGATGTGTGAAGAAGTTCTCTGCAGTAAGCTTATATCAAGAAATTTCCATTTGGTTTTGGTTTTGGTTTCTCCTCCTGAAATGAATTTAAATTAAAGAAATATAAGGGGGGAATAAAAAAAGTCATCATTTTACCGGGGTTGATTTGTAGCAATCAATCCTGTGTCTCTTGTTTTCTCGTTGTCCAACTTCATCCATTTCTGTTTACTTTGTGTAGGTCTGTCCACTAGGAAACACGGCTAGTGCTTGCGTGATAGTACTTTGTTTTGTTCTGAACTAGTACGCTCTCCTGAAAGTCAGGAAAAGTATAGATGGTGACAGTTGGACAAACTGGGTAGAGTAAAGTAAAGCAGCAATATAATTTTTTTTTAATATCTCCACACTTTGAGATAGTGAACGGGTGCACGACAAATTATTAAAGCTGTTGCCCTATGACTGTGTTATCTTTTCAGTTACAACTCTCTAGAAAAATGAAAAAGAAAGAAGAGTGATTTGAACAAGAGCAGCAAACTATACTGTCACAACTGCTGGTAATCATTTACTTCTTCACTATAAAAGGAATGAAAAAAAAAAAAAAAAAAAAAAAAAAAAAAAAAAAAAAAAAAAACAAACAAAAAACAAAACACTGCACATCATCTGCGAGCAGTTAATGTTTTCTCATCTTTCCTTGACGGAACAGATTCCAGTTTATTATGTTCATCCAAGTGAACTGACCTTAATGATTGCAAACTTAAGTTTGAGGATGTAAAGGGAGAAGTTCACCTCAAAGAAGCTGAGGAGGAGGCAAGAAGCAGAACAAAGGATCTCAACTGACCTTAATGATTGCAAACTTAAGTTTGAGGATGTGAAAGGGAGAAGTTCACCTAAAATAAGCTGAGGAAGAGACAAGAGCTGCTAGGAAACAGTTGTAGCGTTCAGCTAGCAGAAAATTTGAAGTAGACAAAAATTACTATGCGAGTTCATTGTCATAGTATTAAGCATCTTTTATGTGATGCTGGCATCTACAAAAGCACTTGTGGAACAAATTTTGAGGAATGGGTGTTTCGGAACTACAATTAGAAGATGACCCTCAAAGAAATCAAACATAAAGTAAACCGACAATGTTTGAAGACTTGTCTGTAAGGTAGTGAAGGATATGCAGCTTACAATGCAAAATCGTACACTAAAAAACGTCACATTGCATGCCAGTTAGCTCAAGCTACACTTTTACAAAATTAACTGGCAGTTGGCACATGATACACCCATTACCTATATACTGAATAACTACACAGATAAAATATCGCGACCTGATGATATTCATTCCCTAAATGTTACAAGCATCTTGATGGTGGAAATTTATAAGGAAAAAGGGGGAAAAAAAAAATAAAGTAAAAATATTCTATCATCTAGTATCATTGAAATAAAGTCCATATCTGTTTAATCATCAAATCGAACTTGGATAGGAATAATACCAACAGAGAGTAGGTATAAAGCAAACACATCAATGAACCTAATGACTTATGTTCTCCATGTTACAGATATGCTGCTATGAAAGAGGATTATACATTAGGCATTCAAGCTTCAACTATGCTCGGGTACAATTTGAACCAACGTCAATCTCTTATGAAACAAATCACACACAGATAAACCAGACTAATCTATCTCAGACGAAATTTCAGTTCCTCGTTCAATCCAAATATCTGAACAGCTTCAATTCATCAATTACAGGAAAAAAGAGAAACCCCAAAAAAAAAACAGCACATACACAATACAAATAAGAATAAAACAATTTCCAGCAAGTAAAATCAACAAATCCACATGCAGGTTGAAAATGATTAAAATTGCATGGAAACGGAATGGAGAGCGGTGAAAACACGATGAAATCAGGGAATACCGTCACGCGGCCGGTATATGGCCGCGTGAACGGTGGTTCGCGGCGAGGAAATTACCGGAATGGAGACTCAGCTACACGAAAAATGTGTGTTCAAGCGTCCGCCATGTTTGATATGGGGGAAAATCGATTGCAATTTGTGCTCTTCTCTCTTTATTATACACACACATAACACTCTCTCTCTCTCTCTCTCTTCTCTCTTCTCTCTCTTCTCTCTCTCTCCGCCACTCTCTCTCTCTTTCTCTCTCTGGTTTTGGTTTTACTGCTATCGTGTACAGCAGTTGCTCCAGTATTAAATTACTTTAATTATTAAATATTGCTTTTACTTTGAATTGAAAAATCAAATAAATAAGAGACTGACTGACACATCGTCTGAGGGCTGTTCGAGAAGTGAGAAAGATCGTTTATTGAGCCCATTTCTCTTGTTTGGGTCAAGGTGTTATTACGAAACCCAACTTCTTACATAAAGCCCATTTTTTATAGGCCTGCGTTTGGATGCCATTAAAAAACAAAAAATAAAGAGATTACACCCACAAAATCGTTTTCATTTATACATTTATGGAGTTTTATTTTTAATTATCAACTAGTACAATACTCGTGTACTAGTAACTTTAAGAAAATTATATTTAAAATTAAATAATAATAATAAATTTATTTTAGTTTTTAAATATTTTTTTGAAAAATATATTATTATTTGTGTTTAAATTGATACCGTCAATTACACGACCTATCATCTTATATTATTTAATTTTTTAATTTACAAAATTTATTTTGAATGATATAACATATGGAAAAGTAATACATGCATGATTTAGTTAAAAGCTCATTTAAAACTACATAACACCAAATTTAAAGGATTATCTCAGGAAATACTCCCATAATAATATGATATAATTAATACACAAATTTATGGGAGGCAGTAAATTTATGTTAATGAAAGAGATATTTATAGGAGTAATAATGTAAGATGAAATAATTATTTATGATTGATTTCAAACCGATTATATTTTCAAATTTTTTATCCGAAACTAAATACGAAACATAATAAATTTGACACGTATGATTCCTAAGCGTGCGAGCCTCCCACTTAAACTCAACACTTTTTGAATTAATCTAGAGGGGGGATATAAACTTTTGTATTGCTTATAAATGGTTAATTTAAGGTTTGTTTGTCACTGATCTTTTTGCATTGTTTTTGGTAACTTGATTATAATATTTTATGTATGGTTTTATTTTGAATATCGTATTTTTGTAAAAATAAAAAATAAAATAAAAAATGTAATAAACATCGGAAAAGACTTTAATTAACATTAATGGTAGCACAACCATCTTATAGTATATGAATATTAACTAATAATTTTGTATTTATTTAAAATTATAAAACAAGTATATTAATATTTTTTTCAAAAAATACATTAGTTTTTTTATTTAAAACGACACCCCGCTGCGGGTAAAATTTGGTACAAATAAATCTATGCAACATAGAAATAAAATCGAATACCACTAAAAATAGTTAATATGACATGTAGTATATAAATAATTTAACGATAAATACAAATATTATTATTTTTAAAATGTATTTAAAACATAAGTTAATCAAATGTCTTAGAATGTTAAGAATCCTAATAGTAGTGTTGATATGTGAATTTGTATCGACGGGTAATCAAGAATCAATTATGGATTGGATAAATATAATCATGAAATAAAAAGGGATTTTATGGTAAGAGTAGAGAATTTTACATTTGAACGAGGTCGGCCTCTATGAATTTTGAGACCGTACATTTAAGTTGTGTTGCCCAAATTTATTGCGAATGATTGTTGTCTTTGCCTGCTTACAGTTTTTCTTATAATGTTACGAGTTGCCCGTCACAAATGAAACATAGACTATTTATAGCTAAACACCCTTGATTACTGCTCATTTACTATTCACTAAGTCATGTTGCACAGTAAATCCAGATGACATGCATTAAACGAGGCGTGGTTGATCCTGAATGATGATTATCGGCCATTAAATAATGATTAACAAGCATTTAATTAGGAAATGTCACTCTAGGGGCCTACGGGTCGTAAGTTTGCAGAGTTGGTAGGCAAATCCCATCCCCCATCGTCATGCTGCAAGTGGCATTATTTATTATTCTCTAACATTGAGCGCATTGTTTTTTTTTTCGATGGGATCTTCGAGTTCGGACTTCCGCCATGACTTGAAGTTGAACTTATTTCTCCTTGTCTTGAGCTCAGACTCTCCTCCTTGCTTTGAGATCGAACTTTCTTCTTGACTATGAGTTTGAACTCTGCTCTCGCTCGTTATCCCATCGTCCGCCAATCTTCTAGCTCGGACCACCTATCGTTTAGAAGTGGGGCCAAACTGAGTGTCATGCTCAGTGGGGCCGATCTGAGAGCTATGTTTTTTACTTTTTTAGGATTACTTATTCACTAAATCATTTTGTTGGGGGGATTAAGTTTCAGACCTATGTTTACCATCTCGGTGCCAACAAGTAGCATATAAAAGTCAATTCAAGTGGCATTTCACCAATAACCACAACTCATCCGTTGATTATTTAACATCAATCAGTCTAAACCTAATTAATTTTACTCAAGCTCCATTTTGGTAATTTATATATCACATATGTTTCGGTCCATAAGCACTGACAATTGCGCCACGAAGGTTATGTCGCTACGACTCAAGTAGGTTCTCATAACTACGTCGAGTCATCTCTACATTCTCAGCAGTCACATGGATAGATAGACATGTCAAAACGGGCGGCGGGGCGAGGTGGGCCTCTAAATGGCCAGCCCGACCCACCCCCGCCTGGGCCGCGGGCTAGGCGGGCTGGCCAGCTAGATTTTTTTTTTTTTAAAAAAAGAATCTTAGACCACATTCCCACCAAAGCCCAACTGCCTAAGCTTTTCTCCTCTTTTTTTTTTTTTTTTTT